GTATATTGATTCAATCTTGGTAACATTCTGGTTACATAATTTTATCAGAGTATATTGAATATGCAGAGCTGATCTAAAATCAAAAGATAATGAATTTATCCAAAAAAATCACCAAATTATTTACTAGATCAATATTTCAAGGATACTTGCTAGATAATTTTTATGCAATCATTATACTGGCCAATCGGACAAATCCTTCAAGGATATCCAAATCTAGGTCAATAAGGTATTCAAATTCACTAGTAATACTTTTAATTATATAATCCTTCAGGGAAACTCAAATCTATAAGCATAAAATTCAACAGGATATTTGCTCTGCAATTCATGATAGGATTAAAAAAAAAAATAACTATACAAGTTGCATACCATTCATTTGGTTCATTAGTCAATTAAACTAAAGTTCAAGATATTCAAATTGATTTAGGCTCAATAAATTTAGATCACATCCATACTCAATGCATAAAACAACGAAACACATATGTAACAATCATTTCCAAACTAAATTCATGTCGTATTCAGATGCATGGACGAATAATAAAATATGTGGGTATTTAATTTTATAACTCTTCAGGATTCTAACAATTGAAGTATGAGAGATTTTATTCCATAAGTTATATAACATTTTTCCTCCATTATCGAAAATAATCGTTATCTAGAGGATAATGTCTACTGGACATATCTTACGTGTCTTACCACTTTCAAATCTTAACAAGTAATGTCAAGAATGATATGATATATGCAAACAAGAGATGCTCATATACAAATAAGGAAAATTGGATCAAGGAAATATATAGTCTTATAGAAGATAGATTGTTTTTTTTTTTTTTTTGTCATATACCAAATTATACTTTTGCACAGTGCTTCTGACACTAATACAATCTCCATGAACTACTTTTATATCACTATTCTTAATATATTGTGTCCTTGAGTATTGATTTGGTTGGATTTCATTATTATCATGTATTACTTCAGGAATACAAATTGTTTATAACAAATCATAAAATATTCGATAGCATCTTAATTCAAAATTAGTCATCAAGACTTACGCACGGTGTAATCACTCTTTTATTTTGATAATTGTATCGGTGTTAATCCTTCAGGGAGTATATCAAAATTTTATTGTGAATTATGGGAAATACTTACATCGGTGTTGATCCTTCAGGGAGTATATAAAAACATTATTGTTAATTTATAGAAGATCCTTCAGGGAGTGCATAAAAAATTCATTGTCAACTTACACGCTATCGATAAATAAAATATTGATTGCGATCTTATAGACAACCGATGCATCGTTTTATTCAATCTATCCATCATTATTTAATATTAGTGTCCTTCTGGGACTACTAGTATTCAATTGAATCTTATACATTTGGATAGATATGTATTTTTGTAATAATACTCCATCATTTTCATAATTACACAAGTCTATCATCTCATCCAACCATATTATAAAGATATGTCATAAATTGAGCTATACAACATCAATAATATATATCTAATATTTCCACTTCTCTTTTTTTTTTTTTTGTATATAATCTTCCTCTCATATACAATAAATATACTTATAATATCACATGAATTTTTTTATAGCACTAAAAAAAGGCAAATAGAAAAAAAAATAGTCTAATGATCCCAATATACAATGTAAGCCAAAAACCCATGTGATTTTTCACATTATGCGCATGTAATGAAACATAATAAAGACATAATGAGTTTCTAACTATGAACATATATGCCTTTTAATGTTTATCATTTAGGTAATAATTTGGCATGAATTTCTTAAAGAATTGTTTCAGTTGGATGAATTATGCGCATTAAAAATGAGCCACATATAGGATTTTTGCACTTAAACTGGATGAATTTAACATTCAATGAACAAATGATGGCAGACAAGACTAATAAGTCAACCTTCACATAAAATTAAATTGGCCCAGCAACTCATTTCAGATGCAACTCGTTCAGTCTAGGCACAAACAAATTGTAGAGAGAATAAATCCTAAATTTCAGTCCAGAAACACAGAAAAAAGAGAGAGGAACAATCGCAATCGAATTAGTGCTGTAAATCATGAAATAAGCAAAATAAAAATTAGGGCATGTGAGATATTTCCGTAAATCACTTCGGCAAAGAAAAGGGCAAAATAAATACACAGAGGATGATTTAAAAGTATGCCCAATTTTTCATTGTTGCACGACCACAACAATCAAATTCATACAAAAATAATCAATTCACTCATTTGGAGATAAATAAATATAATGAAACTAATAGATCATTATTGATATTGAATAGATCTTGAATGTTACCTTGACAGAAAAGACACGATTCTTTTCTAGGGCATACATCTATTCTTGATTGTTACCTTGATTGTCCGTAAGACTTGATGCCATTGTCGTTCCTTAGATGGTAGAGTACTCGTGCTGATAACGTGTTGTAATATAGATTGACAATATGTAAAATCTATGTGTAAAATAGACAAAGATAGAAACAGTAGAAGAAGAAGAGAATAAGAGAGAAGAGATACGCCGTTAAAATCATCATCTTATTCATTCACTTGAGCCCTATATATAAGGGAATATAATGTACATGAGTAAATACCTAATGGGCTCCTGGCCCATGCCTACAAATCCTATATCTATGTAATGTCCACAACTTAATATTTACAACACTTACAACTCATACCAAATAATACTCATTTAATTAATTAGAGTAAGTAAGAAAATAACAACAACTCCCATCTAACAAATATTTTATTACTATTACATATATAAATATATATATATATATATATATTAATCTTTAATCTTAATTAAAGATTAATAATGACAAATAATTTATGAAACTAACTTTCAAAAATTAATTAGTCAAAATCTTATCTCCCATAAAAATAAAATCTCCTCTGTCATGTAGGCTTTTAAAATAATCATATTAATATTTGGATTTGAATTTTAAAGTCCAACTTCAAAATCCAACTATTAATTTAGCAATTCTAATAACTACTTAATTAATATCCAAAGCCTAATTAATCAATCAAATTGATTAATTTATTTTATTCCTTTAATTGACATCTAATCAAATTAGATTTTAAATTAAATAGTCAAATTATTCAATTAATACTTGTCAATTAATCCAACTATTGGAAATACCAATTTCATAATGTCATCATCCAAAATTTGGTGTGACCCTTTTAGGTTCACGATTAACACTAGTAGTGAGTTTACAACTAATTTGTAATTTAAATTAATCTAATTAATTTATATTCTTGAAATTAACTCCTTAATTTCAAGAACCCACAAATTATCGGAACACCTAGCAAGTAGCATGATTATCTAGTGTTAAGTGAAATAGCGAGTAAACCTTTTCGATTGCAAATGCATACATGTAAAATCCTTTCGACAACTAATTTCTCGATTAAATCTTGGGTATGGTTTTTAGTCGAAACCCATTTGATTTAATAACTATGATTCCATTTCAAATTTAGTGATTCCTTTATGAATCCATATTCATCTTGCCTTGGCCAAGGTCTTTGAATCACAAACTATGAAAAACATAGGAAATTCACTTATCTACATAAGTGTCGAATTCTTTATTGGCAACTGATAAACCTCCATACATATTAATACAATACCCAAAATATTCCTTTTATGATTATCCAGTAATCATAGGATAAATCAAAGTAAAGTATAATATGCACAAGATTACTATCGTGCCTCAAGTCAAAGGATTAGTCATGTACTATTGCAACATGAAAATTCTTATTCGTCAGTAAAACTTTCATTTAAGAATTTTCATACGGTCATGCTCAGTGAACTTGTTCCCTAACAAGCACCCACATATATGTATTTGCGTCCAACGCTAATGTTGATAGGATGCAACATTCTTGTCCAACAAACATACATTATGTGTGCAAGTCTTACCGGATTATTCGATATCCCTTCTCGAAATACCCATCGACTTGGAACTTTATTTAAGATCACAGCTTACAAGGCATGTTCCATGATTACCATCCAATACATAACCATGCCTTATAGTTATTAATGATCTAGGGACTTTATCATATGTTCAAATATATGCAATTACATAAGATAAAATAATGCCTTTTATTAAATAAATTCCAATAAATTGTTTTTACAAGTAGAATGTATCCAATCTGATTGGAACGTTGGGTATTCTACTCTAACACTTGGACCATTTGCACTCATCCCACTCGGAGCTAGAAAACATCACCTTTAATTGTGTCTTCTTTTCCATCAAACTTTGCAAGCTAAGAAAGGAAGAAGCAAATCGTGTGACCCGGGTCTTACTATGTCTCTTCTTTTAGTGTAAGACCTTATCATAGCTAAGGTCTTATGATGCGCAAATATAAATATGGTCAATGCCTTTGCTTGTTCAATTGTTTTGTTCAACCGGGGTAGTTTTGCAATTCCCTCCAAGATGAGATTCATGGTGTGTGCGGCACATGAAGTCCAAAAGATAGTTGGCCTCTTCGTGCGCAATAATTTTGCCGCTCCCATATTGTTTGAAGCATTGTCCGTCACAATTTGAACAACATTCTGGGGCCCAACTTGTTCAATACATTTATCCACATACTCAAATATCATTTCACTTGTGTGTGACACATCGGAAGATTCTTTGGAAGAGAGAAACATTGTTCCGATTTTAGAATTCACACACAAATTCATGATACTTCTTCTCTTTCTATCACTCCAAGCATCCGTCATAATCGAGCAACCACTCCTCTTCCATTCATCTTCCTGAGGCTTCACTTTGAGTTTGGTTCTCTCAACCGCTCTTTTCAACAATGGCGCTCTCTCACCAAATATTGACTTGGACCCTTCCACTTCGGCCCAAATTGACCGAGCACTTCGGTGAAGAGATGAAAGCTATTGAGATCAAGTGTATTGAAAGATATGTCGGATTCATAAACCCAATCGACCAAATAATTTTTCACCAAATTGGATCGCTCCTTCCAAATAGCATCACTAATGTTTTGTTGCCGCATTGTCTATGCTACATTCAATGATGCTTCCGGGTTAATAGTTGTAGCAAATCTATCCATTGGGCCAAGAGAGTGAGATTCTTGGTATTGTTGAGAGGAATTCAGCCCTTTAATATTAACCAAAGAGAGCAGCTCTTCTTGAAGTTCTTTTGTCTTCACCTTTTTTGCTTTGGACTCATTGATGCCATTTCTACATTTGGCTTGATCTTCTTTTGTTGCTTTCTTACATGAAGTGACATTCCCAGAAATTTGACCAATGTGCTCTTTCAATCGTCGTATACCGCCCGACATGACTTTCGCACATAACAAGCATTTAACCCTATCTTTGTTATGTGGATCGGCTAGAACACCATAATTCCAACCTATGTCATCGGACTCTCTTTTAAGTAGAGAATCGGTCTCGATCTCAGTGGATGTCCGGGTATCACATGGAATACTTTTTGATGCCGAACAACTACCACTTGCCATTGAGAAAACCTAAAAACAAAAGATTGGAAAAATACATAAGGTTGTTGCAAGAAAGAACACAAATACACAATGAACATAAAATTATATTACTATCCTTTTTTTTTCATTTTTCAAATTAAATTTTTAAATTTCTACTAAGTTCTTCTCATTGTAATTTTATGAAACACATTAACTACATGTCATGTTTTAAACATTACACAACATAATATAATTATACCAACAAACTAAACACCAATTCACACTAATCACATCTGTAACACCCCGCCTGATCTAACTAGACTCACGAAAAACTGGGTAAAATTTTTGCAGTTGTTTTCGAAAAATACTGGGACTGGTTTTGAAAAACATTTGAACTTAACTGACTTGCGGGATGCTACTTACTTACTGACTTGACTTATTGCTCTTTCTTTTACTTATGCATGTAACCCAATCGACATATATAATCCAGCTGGGGAATATGGATAAGGGGAATTAAACATGCATGCATACTTGTTCTGAGTTGGCAGTACGGAAGCGTAAATAAAGTACAGTACAATACGAAATTATCTTATTACATGCCAACATAAACATAAACATAATAAATGTCCAACTGTTGTCGGACACCACCACACCACTGCTCGGCTCATGCTCCGGGTTGTACACCATCACCTAAAAAGATAAATAGTGGGGGCGTGAGCACTAAATCACCATACTCCGCAGGAACCAAAACTGAATATGCAGCACATGTAATCAAAATATCATGAACTCAACATATACATAAATAAAACTGTATTGTACTGGTGCAACATCCGAAAACTGGCTGGATTATCATGTGATCACATTCTGGGGGTCGCCTCCCTCAGAAACCCAGGATGGAAATAACTACCATTCAAAACCGGGTGAGTGACTCAGGATGGGAAAACCTTCCATACAAGACCGAGTCATCATAACTGGACCACGAACAGGATAGCTCAACTGTTCGGGTAAATATCTACATACATACCTCATACATGGTACATGATTATAAGCGATGTAATACCCAGTGCAAGGCCCCACCTGATTACACTGAAAGACTGTGCAAGTGCTGAAAACTGGTGTAGCTGTTGGAGGCTCGACTCTCCACAAGCTACCAAATATATACAAGCAAATATATCTAAGTATTTTGCTTGAATAATACATCTGATTCTGAAACTTTAACACTTATGGTGGCAGATAGGCAAGCAAGACATGCAAAACATATAAAACATATATACAATTAATATACACAGATAAAACAAACACAAGTTAATAAACAAATAATACTAGAACTGGCTTCTCGGCTTGACTGGACTGATATCGAGCTTCCGGATAAAATCTGACAGAAGCTCAGAAACTAAAATTATCAGTCTATCTTTATCTGGCTTGAACCGGCCAACTGTTATACTTAAATACGTGCTTAGAGTTGTATATACACTCATGTTCAAATACTTTATTTAAATTTTTTTAAAATAAGCTAATATACTCCTTAAACCTTATAATTTTTATGAAATCATATAAACATCCAAAAATACTAAAATTTTGCAGTGTAATACTTCACTTAGACATGCATTTTAGTTAAAATTTTAGCTTATTCTAAGTTCGTTTGGTTAGTCAAACAATTACATCAAATTTGCATATACACATGCATTGGACCTTTCTAACTTTTAGGAATTTTATAAAATTGCATACTTAGCTTCTGAAGCTGAAACTTTATCACAATGATCACAACTCATAGATGAACTAGCCATAAAAATTTCAGATCAAAAACATTAGTGTAGGCTGAGTTCTATTGCAACAAAAATTAACTTAACATGTTGAAATCTAAAATTCATAACTTGCTTATTTCTCAACATTTTGAGCTGAAACTTTACAGTCATGCTCTTAACTCATATGTTAACATGTCATAACAATTTCATATTAATAGCATGTCTGAGGACTGAGATATTAGCAATTTACGTAACAGCTGAAAATAGGCATATAAAATGCGGTTTGCACACTTAATTTCAAATATCTATAACTTGAGCTATACTAATCTAAAAGACATGATTATTATTCCTATGTACTCCTCTTTTACCCAAGAAATAATCATATAAAGAATACTTTCCCAAGTTTTGCATAGCATGGTAAAAAACATAAGCAAACAACACATAAGAAACACTCATGCGTGTTGGGACAACTTTAACATTTTGCATGCTTATATACACTTAAAATATGAACATATATAGCATAATTATACATCAATAAACTCCTCATATAATATATAACATGATTCTAAAATGATTTTAGCACACCTACCTCTTAATCTTCAAGAAAATGCAAAAGAAGTCGGGTATGCTCAGTGATGGTCTGTTGGACTTGCTCCCGGCTTTTGCTTGCTTCTTCTTGCATCTCCTTGAACTTGATGACACTATTATATTTCTTGATGAATGGAGGATGAAGGAGAGTGGTTATCTTGCTGGAGTTCTCGAATTTAAGCTACTACAACTCAAGAACACTCGGTACTCACTCAAAGCTTCTCTCGGTGGCACTAAGAAAACACTCTTGGCTTTGTGGTTTCTCTTAAGTGTTTCCACGATTTTACTCTCTAATATTCTAAGGACTACCAGAGGTTCAAAATGAGGATTGAAAAAGGCTGAGGTGAGGCTTATAAAGAGTCTTAGGGGCAATGCAAACTAGGTGAAAAAAAAAAAGGAGACAAGGTGATAAAACAATTGTGTAACTCTTTCACTAGGCACATGGTGGACTTGATGCATGTGTTTGAGCACATGTACGAGATGGTGGACTGAAAAGATGCTAAGAAATCTGATCCAATCATTAGAATAATAGGGGAACAATGCCTTGCACTCACAATAAACAAAGACTTGCACATGATGGATGATTAGGCATATAAAATTAGTTAATGAAGGATTTGACTTGATTAATGATTCTTAGGCTCAACTTAGCTTAAAAATATGACTAATACTCCTTAAACATTTGCATGGCATTAGGCAAATGAAATGACATGGCCATGGTTGACTTTATTCTCGGTACCAATGGCTCGGGCAGACTCGTGCGCATGCACTCGGGTGACTCGCGCGTGCTATGTCTTGCATCCTCTCGGCACTATGATGGCTCGAGGCCACTATTAGGGCCGAGCACTTAACCTTCTAGGTGCTAAGTGCTAGTTTCGAGGCATTGCAAGTCTAGGGTTCAATAGCCAAAAGCTCGGTTCGATGCTAAAGTACGACTAGGCACTTGGCTTCGGCTCAATTAGGCTTCACGCACGATCTCGAAAATATCAGCACGACTAAATGATATAACTTAAATATACAAACATACATAAATAATAATAATAAGCACACATAATATCACATATAAGCATATAATTCACATAATAACTCTTGGAAATACTTAGTCGAACAACTCTAGGGCTCGAATATTATCCAATTCACTTTAAAGTCGAGCAAGTGAATTGGTTTTATTTATTAACTAATCGGGGCGTTACAACCTATCCTCCTTAAAATATTTATGTCCTCGGAAATACAAAACTAAGATACAAGGTCATAACTCCTACTACAAACTATATACTGAAAAGTACAAAACAAGTACATCTGTACAACTCAAAACTCGAAATCTGGATATTGAGCTCGAAACTCGACCTCTCTCTCCCAAGTGGCTTCGTGCTGTGGCCACTCCAAAGTACTTTGATGAGCGGTATCTCTCTGTTTTTCAGCCGTCGAACCTTTGGGTCCAAAATAGCTATCGGCTGCTCATCATAACCCAGGTTCTGCTCGACTTCTAACCCGTCAAAGCTGACTATGTGACTCGGGTCATACCCGTACTTCCTCAACATAGAAACATGAAAAACATCGTGTTTACCCGAGAGCTCAGGAGGCAACGCCAGACGGTAGGCTACTTCACCCACTCTTGCGAGAATATCAAATGGCCCTATGAAACGAGGCTGTAATTTTTCTCTCTTCCCGAATCGAACTACGCCCTTCATCGGCGTGACTTTCAAGAACACCTTATCGTTCCCGTCAAACTCAATCTCTCTCCTATGCTTGTTGGCATAGGCTTTTGGTCTACTCTGTGCCTCTTTCAGCTTTGCTCGGATCTCGGCGACCTTTTGCACTGTGTCCTCGATCAACTCGGGACCGAAAACCTATTTTTCGCCCACCTCATCCCAATAAAGGGGTGATCGACACTTGCGCCTGTATAAAGCTTCGTACGGTTCCATCTTGATCGACGAGTGATAGCTGTTGTTGTAGGCAAACTCTACCATTGGTAACAGTTTCTCCCACGAACTACATCGCTCAAGGATACAAGCTCGAAGCATGTCCTCGAGTGTCTGGATGGTCCATTCCGACTGTCTGTCGGTCTGTGGATGGTAGTCAGAACTGAACTTCAACTGTGTCCCCATGGATTCATTCAGACTCTCCCAAAATCAACTCGTAAAATGAGGATCTCGATCAGATACAATCGAGGCGGGTATGCCATGGAGTCGAACTATCCCACGGAGGTAAATCTCAGCTAACTTCTCTATAGATATGTCCATACTAACTGGCATAAAGTGGGCCGACTTGGTCAGAAGGTCCACTACAACCCATACAGTGTCGTGCTGCTCGGATGACCTTGGTAGTCCTATTACAAAGTCCATGGTCAGTTCCTCCCACTTCCACTGTGGAATCTCTAAAGGCTGTAGAAATCCTGGTGGATACTTATGTTCAGCCTTTACTTGCTGGCAGATCAAACACTTGTTCACAAACTCGGCTACATCTTTCTTCATGCCCCTCCACCAAAACGACCTTTTCAAGTCGTGATACATCTTGGTGCTGCTGGGGTGTGCCAAGTATGGTGCACTGTGCGACTCGGTCAAGATCTCTTTCCTCAAGGCCTCGACGTTCGGCACAACAATTCTCCCTTTGTACTGTAAGGCACCATCAGTGCCTCGATCAAAACCCTCAACTCCACCGGCATGAATCTTGGCCTCCACGAGTGAATAAACTCGTCAGAAATCTGTTCCC